GTAAAATTGCAGCGTTAAAAAAATGGTATCAAATCAACTCATTATAAGATAACTTAAAACTACATGGAAAAAAAAAAGTGTTAGTTGTATCAAATAGACCGAAGACACTATCCTTTTGAAGCAAAATGATTATTGTTTGGAATTGTGTTTTCTTTTTTTTTTTTCTAAAAAGAGAGTTCTTAAGGTATAGTCGAGTCGGATATGTGGCTAATAATGAACATATCCCTCCGAGCCGTTAAATGTTGATAAATGTGAGTCACTTCAGAGAATCTCACATATTTCTTCCAATCCAAACATTATTCTTGAGCTTGGAAACTGCGCGAAACTCGATCAAGAATCAAGAAATCTAGTTGAGAGATCGGAGTGCGAGTATCCATTCTTACCAGGTAAAGAAGTGCCTGGATACTTCACTTATCGAGCTAGTAGTGGAAGTTCTTTGACATTCACTTGGATCTGCGGTCACGGGTTTCAAGGTTTGTGTTGTGCTTGCTGCGGGATCAAATTCCGATGTTTTATCGGTAAATGGCGTAACTGGCATATCTTGTTGCTTTAAAGGCAAATACAATGGATCAAGTATCCAATACTACGAATGGCCAGTGATGTATCCATCTCTACTTCTAACAGATCACATGTGTATACTTAACGCTGTGGTTGAAGATGAACTCAATGATAGTAAAAGTATCAAGAGATGTGTTTCGAGTTTGGGGGCCCTCATTGCAAGATTATTGCTTGTGGTGTACGGCTCTTGACGGGTCATGAAGAAAAGGAAAGTTTCGGTGGTAGTTTTGGAGTTAGCTTTGGTGAAGTAAGTGTTGTGCCCGGATTTCTATGGGCCCGAGGCGAATTTTAAAATAAAATATTTTTTACGTATGAAATTTTAACAATAATTGTTAGTGTATAAAAAATTAATTAGATAAAAATAAACTCTTATTTTAGCATCAAAGTAGTTTTGAATTTGGGATAAGAATCTCAAAAATTTATATTAACATACTTTTAACACTAGATTCTAATTAATCTCCGAAATATGGGGTCCCTAAAATTCTATACATCATCCGGGGCCCGAGACGAATGCTTTTTTAGTTACATGGTAGGCACGGCCTTGGGTGAAGTCTCTGAAGAGAATGACGGAGGGGGGAAGAAAAGCAGGAAGAGAAAAAGAGTCACCTTAGGGGTCTAAAACTGTGATCGATTCATTTAGGCATATATTTTGTTTTTTGGTTTTTCTTACAACCAAACTATATATTAATCAAAAACATTATTAAAATTGGTAATCCGATTCGGCAGCAAGTTGCTTACATACGAAAAATCAAAAACTCGAATAAGTGCAAAACAGGCTAAACATTACGCCTTTAAATTATTAAAAGGGAGACAAAAGATAACGACAAATTCGGGAGACGATCTTAGATATTCCGGAGTTGGTCTAACAAAATCGAGAATGCAGACCACTCTACTAGATTCATTACAATATCCACAAAGTCAGAGCAATCAGTCTCAAAAGTATGGCATTCTATTCCACTTTCCATCACGCATGACATCTCCCAAATCAAGGCTTCCATTTCTGAACGTAGCGGCGACCTCATGTGTCGCAATTTTTTTGCCCCTAATAGAACAGGATGGTCACCTTGGTAACAGACCCTACCCAACCCTGAAGTTACATCTCTATCTCTCGAGGATCCATCCACTTGACATCGAATATGATTCGCTGAATGAGCCACTAATTGGGGATCCTCCCCTGAAGTGGGCATATATTTTGTTTAGCCATTGCGATTTGTACATAGCTATATTATTAACTAGTGATTGTCCACACATTGCTAGAGATTTAAATTAACATGGTAAAATATACAATAATTTCTAATGTTTTGATTATTTGTGTATTTAATATCATATAAATTTGATGTTTATAATAAATAATTATTTAAGTTAGAAAACAAAACATTTATAACAATTTTTTGTACATATACAATGTTATATGTAAAAACAAAATAAGACTGTTATCAATATTCACTACGGTTTCCTTAAAAATGATTGTAAAAATCTATTGATCAGTCAAATTATAATATATTTTGTTTCTACCGAGACATCTGCATCATCTCAACAGAGGTACCGCAATGCATCTTTCTGTTTATTTCATTAGAACCTTTAAAGTCTTGGTCAGGAGAGTTACTTTGTCAAACACAAATTCTTTTAACTACATTAGGGAGTGAATTCGTAAATTGACTTTGGTGTTTTAGCAGTCTTAAAAGTCATAAAATCATTCTATAAATGTCTCAAATCAATTTTTTTTGTTCTCGTTCCTATTATGCTTCCTTTTATTAAAATTTATCTTTTTGTAGGTTTTTTTAAAATCACAGTTATCTATATAAAAGCAAAAGTTTTAAACATTTTTTGTATAGTATACTGTTGAATTTGATAAATAAATATAGATTATCTATACATAAATTTACATAATAATTACATAAATGTATACAAGACACTTGATTATAATTTGTTGTAATTAATTTACATAAGAATTAACTATTAAATTGTAAGAACTAATTGCTAAAGTTATCAAAAGATATTTAATTCATTTTCTCTTCAATAAATAAATTAAAAAGCCAAATATCAAAGAAATAGATGACACATGACAACCTCTCATGATTTGAATTTTGAAAAACCTTACA